AGAATCACAATACTCAGCAGGACATTTGACTGTTACTCTACTCACCAGTTCTCTACTTTAGTGATGTTTATGTTGGTGAACTAGCCATTCTGACGTCAGAATCTGAATAATCAGTAGAACATTTGACTGTTACTCTACTCACCAGTTCTCTACTTTAGTGATGTTTATATTGGTGAACTAGCCGTTCTGACGTCAGAATCACAATAATCAGTAGAACATTTGACTGTTACTCTACTCACCAGTTCTCTACTTTAGTGATGTTTATATTGGTGAACTAGCCGTTCTGACGTCAGAATCACAATAATCAGTAGAACATTTGACTGTTACTCTTCTCACCATAATATGCGTCAACCATTTTTTCTGGCCCATACAACCATATTTAGTGATAAACCCAAAAGCCTCATAATAATGATTGCAGCTCAAGTCTATGGAAACATTAGTAATTACAAAGATGCTAAAAACGTATAAACATCCAGGTAATGTTTACATTCATGCTTCTTTATGTGGTTAATCTCCGTCTCTGTAAGACTTGACATGGCGTAGGAAGATACTAATATCTATGTGTTACCTAAGTACAAACAAGGATATGCTGCTTATTCCATCATCATCATCATCTTTCATCACCTTGAACTATATATACAGTGTCATCCTTATAAGAGTATTGGGTAAAAACCATCTCAATATCAGTGGCTGCTTATATGATTACAAAACAAATATCTGGGGGTCACAAGGCTTACCATGATTCCAGATAAAACTGAAAAATAAAAAAAATATTTACCTGCCTGTCATCGTTCACAGCTGTTTAATCGGCAGTGGTCGAGAGTTCCACATTGACCATGTGAGTATTGAAGAGAAATCAAACATCGGGCAAATAGGGAAAAAATATATTTGTAAGATCTGAACTACTTTGTATTATATAGCTTAATATATTTTAACTAACCAAACAACAGAACATTTACAATAAGTGGCTTAATTAGCTTTATATATTTTAACTAACCAAACAACAGAACATTTACAATAAGTGGCTTAATTAGCTTTATATATTTCCACTAACCAAACAACAGAACATTTACAATAAGTGGCTTAATTAGCTTTATATATTTCCACTAACCAAACAACAGAACATTTACAATAAGTGGCTTAATTAGCTTTATATATTTCCACTAACCAAACAACAGAACATTTACAATAAGTGACTTAATTAGCTTTATATATTTTCACTAACCAAACAACAGAACATTTACAATAAGTGGCTTAATTAGCTTTATATATTTCCACTAACCAAATAACAGAACATTTACAATAAGTGACTTAATTAGCTTTATATATTTTAACTAACCAAACAACAGAACATTTACAATAAGCAGCTTAATTAGCTTTATATATTTCCACTAACCAAACAACAGATCATTTACAATAAGTGACTTAATTAGCTTTATATATTTCCACTAACCAAACAACAGAACATTTACAATAAGTGACTTAATTAGCTTTATATATTTT